TACTACTTTACTAGGGAGGTATTTCCATGTTTCTGCTTGGCATTTCATACAATAACATTCCACACTCCACAGGTCAGGGAGCTCATGTAAGGATTCTCCCAGTCGCTGTGTCTGTGCCAATTATTCCTTCTGGAACAGGGGAAATAACCACACCATGGCTTTGAGAATCTCCTGGTCCCACTGTGAGATGGACATGAACTACAAGGCCACTGATCACCTAAACTCCACAAAGCTCTACTCTTAACTGTGACATTTTGATTCTCTTAGAATTACATCATTGTCCAGTACTCTATCAAAGGCCAATGATTTCCTTTTCTCCAGTGCACAGGCACTCTGGCTAAAGGTCATAGGTCCCTTTAGACATTTGGGAGAAATATTAATAGGGTAAGTTTTTGACAGTGTATCAAGTTACCTCTCAAAAGGACCCAAGCTATCATTCATTTAGAGGGTTCAGGGTCTATAAACTGCCTCAGTTCTGGGAATTGATCTATGGACTGCAACTTTGTTTTGGTGATTCAAGTTAAGATTTGACATAGAATGTTTCTACTTGAACATATCATGAATTTAGTAGATTTTTATCTGTCCCTTTTTAGGTATATCATAGTAAACTAGACAAACGCCATCGGTCTCTGGGAGTCAGAGTTAATTTCAATCCACTGTGATAATTGCTTTTGGTGATTAAGTGCCATCAATTAGCCCTTGCCACCTGGGGATCAATTAGCCCCACTTCCACTTAAAGATCCAAGTTTGTTGGCATCAGTTCCAGCTGGATTTGAGAAGTGGCCACAAGTTCTTTAAAGATATTGAGGTCTCCTCACAAGTTTGAGGTCTCCTTGAAGGAACACTGCTTTCAATTTTACTCCTGTTGGCAACACTGGGCACTGAAGTCTTTCTAGCTGCTGCTTTGAACCAAAGTAGTTCCTATTGTTTCTCCTATCAGTGTAGACATCGTATTACTCCCGTGGATATAGTGATCCTGGTCAAATGATGTTGCCGCATCATTTCTGCTTTACCAGACATCTATATTATGTGTTCATGTTGCAAGCCTGTATAGTGTGGTTTCATTTGCACCCTTTTTTTCTAGAGCACATTTAGAGCAATATGATATCCTTGCTATGGTAGCCCAGCACCTACTGGTTAGCATAACCCAAATATCCTTTGGGAATTTCTCAATTTTCAGTCTCATAGTTTGTGTGAGACTTGTGAAACTCAAAGGTACACAAGAGTGTGATAGGTTGAAGCCAGTCAAATAATTCAATTGCCATAGCTACACAATTGGGTACAAGCCCAAGCCTAAACCAATTGGCATACCATTCATCTGCCACCATGATAGTACAACAGGTCACAATAGATACTACCAATCTTATGACTATCTATACAGTCTAGTAGACAGTAACAAATCTGTGAAATTTTTAAAGAGCTACTATTGTTTCCTCTGGTCTGCCTCAAAGTGTAGATGTTTCATTCCTTTACACTTAACAGGGACATTTATAAGTAAGGCTTCTTGTATTTATTATCAAGAAAAAAAGAAAAGAAAGATTGGCGCAGGAAGATCCACAGTATCCCAGTTAACATGTACTTTGTTTCCTATCCCTGCCCAAGGTTAATAATTACAAATAAAACTTCAAGGAATACACCACATACTCTTTGAGTTTGTACTTATAATCCTTTCTCCTTGTAGGATCCAAAGGGCTGGGTCAGGGACTGCTCCCAGATAATAATCATCCATATATACCACTCCTTCACACACATGCTGAACATATTTGGAAGCCTGTATTCTGCAAAAATCCAGAAAGCCCCTTTACATCTCATGCTTAGACTCAGGCTGTCTTTAAATCTCATGAAGCATAAGGTTTTCCTTGCTGGAAACTACAAAAGTCAGAGGAGACATTCTTTAAAAATGCATTAGATGCTTCTCATTGCAAAAATGAAATGAAACTTTATGGTCTGATAAAAACATCCTCTTTTCCCCCTCTTATTTCTTAAGTTTTTGGGGAACTGTAAATAGAGCCATACCAGAAGGTAAGGCAGCTAGAGCTCTCTTAACTCTCTTTTCATCATCATGTATTTTCCCCTTGTTTCTATAAAGGGTATCTGAAGGTTATATTCATGCATGGCTGCTTCTTCTTGGGAAATCAGTTCCTTTTTGGGATTTACCAAAAATAAAGTGGCATCAATCACCTGCCTTTCCATTGCTTACAATGATTTGGAATCCCTGAATGTGTTTTTGTCTCACTCTAATGTTCCCTAAAAGAATTTATGATCACAATCCTTGCACTGCATTCCATTTTTCTATTTTCATGCACTAACTGCACATCCTGCTGCCCAGTACTTCATGAAGTATCTGAGCTTAAAATAACAGCTGGGTTTATCTGCAGATGCATCACCAGGAAGATCTGCTCCACGCAGTACCACAGCAGACCCATGCTAAAAGGAAAGAGAAGAATAAAAGTACAAAACAAAACTACATTTAAACTAAAGAATGACAACTGCCCAAGACATACTCTAGGCAGTGGTGGTGAACCTATGGCACGCATGCTGCAGTGGGCTGTTTGCATCATTGAAAACTCTAAAAGGTTCTCCATCATGCCTCTAGGAACTGCAGTGAAGTTCCACACACACAAATGTGAACCTTATCTATTCCTTCTATTGTCTCACACCTACATCCAACTCATCAAAAATCCTGAGGGTTCTACCTCCAAATCTCATAGGCAAATGCCTATTATTTCTCACTACCTTCATTATTATCACACTGCTGTAATCCAATCATCTCCCATCTGGATTATGGAGAGTAGGAGGCAAAAGCCTCCTGACTGATCCCCCAACTTCCACTCTTATTCTTTTACTGTCTAATCTCCACACAGCACAGATGTCACTTGTCTGCTCAAACCCTTCAAATAGCTCATCATCTTTGAGTAACAATCAAAGACTTTCTTACATATCCTATATAGTCTACCTCACTTCCAAAATAACTCCCTGACTTCTGTTTAACCACATTCATCTGTCAGTGTTCATGAGGGCTTAGTTCCACAATCCCTCATAGCTGTTCAATTCCCTTCTATAAATGGTGTATTTACAGAAAATATTTTTTACAATTAAAGTTCACATTTTAACATGAAACAAAAATGTGTAGTATTTGCATATAACCTTTGCACACCCTCCCATACACTTGAAATCATCTGGTCACTTACACCTAATAAAATGTAAACGCTACGTAAATAGTTATGTTTTTCTTAGGGAATAATGACAAGAAAAATGCCTATACACATTTAATACAGATGCAATTGTTTTCTAGTATTTTTGAGACATGTTTGTTTGAATCTATCAACTCACAGATACACACGACTGACAATACTCATTCACTCTGCTCAAACTACACCAGCCTCCTTGCAGTTCTCCACTTCTGGCCTTTCACCTTAGGGTTTTGCCCTGCTCTCTTCCTGTCTGGAATGTTCTCTGCCCAAATAAGTAGGTAGTTAACACTGCTACCATCTTGAAGTATTCACTCAAATGTCATCTTATCACAGAAAACTATCCTGAATACCCTTTTAAAAATTGAAACTCATCTATCATCCCACCTTAACTCCCTTTTCCTGTTTTTTTCTCTGTGGAAAAAAAATCACTTTACATGATATATTGTTTGTTTATTTATTATGTTTTTGTCTATCCTACCACATCCAATTACACTACTCCTTCCAGCTAGAATGTAAACTCCATATTGATGTCTCTATTTAAAACAGTGCCTAAAACATAGTAGGCAGTTGGTAAACCTACATTGAGTGAATTGAATTAATGAATGGCAATGTTAAATAGACTGGACACACACTGATTAGAAAAGGTGAAGAACAATTAGGGGAGAGAAAAAGGAAGGAAAAAGCTGGCCTTTATCAGCCATCTTTTATGTAATAAGTACAGTGTTATTTTTTATGTTCCCTTACATAATCCACCCAACAAATTTCAGAGTAGGTATTACTATTCTATCTTTACACATGCATATTCACCCAAAGTCCCACAACTACTAAATGGTAGAGTTCAGTTTCAAATCTGTGTCTGACCTGAAAATATTTTATTCTTTCTAGAACTGTTAACTAATTTTCTTCAGGTGAGAAGTACAAAGGGAAGATTGTTTAGGAAGTCAGGTACTAAAATATAAACAGGCATAAAACTGCCAGGATACTACAACACATATGACTAAATTTCAAAGATTCCATAATCATTTCAGGGATCTTGACACATCTCCCTTAATTGACAATAACAAGCATATATACATATTTTATTATATAATTAACAAACTAGACTTGGCATTACTACCTAAAACTCCTCTAGGCCAATTTAAGGGGTATAATAAGAAACATTTCCCCAGTGCATACTATATTCCTAACATAATAGAACTCCTACACAAGTATTATTTCAGTGAATTTTCCTAACAACTCTCCCAATTTTACAAAAAGTTAAGAAATTCACCCAAAGTCACAGCTAATAAATAACAGATCTAGAACTTAACTTTCAGGAACTTTGATTCTAGAGCCAACTTCTGAACTGTGCTATTTTTTAATATCTTTTCTTTTTCTTGAGTCAATTTTAATATTTTTCATCTTCCTAGAAAATTATGTATGTCATCTACATTCTAAAATTTATTAGCATGGATCATAATTCAAATTTTAATGTAAAGTTCTAGAATTTATATTGGAAATAAAACTTTTTCACCCTATATTCTTTGTTTTAACATCTTGACTCTTATACATTCATTTGGAGTGAATAGTGTATCTTGATTTTGTATGGAAATTCCATGACAAAATGTTCATTATCTCATTTAAGAACTATCATTAAAAACAACAAATTCTGGAAGTTTGATACTTGGATATGGTACATCATTGACATTCACGGCAAAACATGTAATTGTCCAGGCAACCATAATTTATTTAGGTTATCTCTTAACACCTAGATCAATGAATTAGGAATTCCACTTAACTCTTGTTAATAAATTAGTCCTAGTAATTATTTCAACCATTTATAAAATAATCTTTCCTTGGTATTTTATTTTTTCATGGTATTTACCACTATCCTGCCCATAGTATTTATTTATTTACCTATTGTCTATCTCTCCTTCTAGAATGTAAGCTGCACAAGTGCAAGGGCTTTGTTCTTTTTGTTGGTTTCTTGCAGTGGCAGGGATTAGATTCAGGAACTCACACAAGCTTAGGATACACTCTACCTCTGAGTTATATCCCCAGCCTCTGTTTTTCCTGTTCACTGCTTCATTCCTGGTACTTTAAAAGAGTACCTGGTACATGATAAGGATTTAATAACTATTGGTGAATGAAGCTCCTACTAACTTATGGGTAGTATCTGATTAAAACTTTACCGAGCAACCACTGTGTGTAAGCCATATGCTAATTAAGTGTGATGATAAATCATGGCTATGACTTTAAGAAGCTAATAGTCATAGATAAAACTTCAGGAATATCATCTTTATAAATCTTTATTAAAATGTAGGTCCTTCAATAACATTTTATAACAAAAGATTATCTTCAAAGTGAGGTACTATTATGCAAGGATCCCAAACGCTTCACAAATTCAATTACTTTTAAACATCATCCTTAGTTGGAAGGTAGGAGAAACCTACATTTATGAAATCAGTCAACAGTAGCAGACTAAACAGGCCCTAAGTAAGTCTAAGGACTGAATGTGTCCTAAGGAACTCTCTCCTTTTATACACTTCCAAGTTTTTTTCTTTAATTAAAGGGGCAATTAATTTAGTCGCCTTAAAAAAAAAGCCAAGTATTTCTTCTCTACATGACATGTTCGTAGGCATAATCAGACCTTTTGAAGAATAACACACCAGTTTCCCTGATCATGGTAGCTTTGCAAAACACTGACATTGCTCAAAGTCTGGCAGGCAGCTTCCAATTCTCCATCACAGAACACATGGTAGTAACGATGAAACACAGGACTTTGGTCACGGGCTCCTGCAGAACCAAAGGGCTCAACTGGTTTGTCTTTACCAGTCTTTGTCTTAAGGTGCCAGGGAACCAGCACATCTTGAGAATGAAAAGAAGTCCTGTTAATATGAATAGGCAGCTCAGAATTAGTAATTGGTTTTGAACTGGATTCTTTCTCCTGAATGTCATCAATGGAGGGGACAGAAGATGCTGAGTTTTGACTGCCTGTGTCAGATTTCTGCTCAACCAGTCCTGGTGTGGATTTATCATTCTTTATCTCCTCTTTCTGCTCTTGGCTAATTCTGTTTTCTTTAAGATACTTTGACTTCTGATTATTATGCTCTTGTTCCATTGCCCAGACATAAATGAGTGCCTTCCCACCGGGTCTCAAGAGTCGAACAATTTCTTGGAGAGCTGCCACTCTACGCTCCTAATAAAGAAAGCAAACCAACAAAAATTGCCATTTAATTAACCTGAAGGAGATATAGAGAAGACATGGAAAAATATAACTCACTACAAGACTGTTTTCAACTAGAATCTTCAGTAAGAAAATCTAGCAAAGTACCCTCCCTCTTTCCTTCTATCTTTCCCCTTCCCTCCCCTACTCTCCCCTTCTCTTTCTTTCATGGGCCCTCATGCAAGCTAGGCAAACCTTCTAGCATTGAGCTGTATCCCTTGGTATGTTACTCAGCTTCTCATCACTATGATAAAAATATCTGAGAAAAACAACCTAGAAGAGGACAGAGTTATTTTGGCTCATTGTTTCAGAGATTTCAGTCCATGGTTGGATGGCTCCATTGCTGTGGGCCTAAGCTAAGGAAAGACATCACAGTGGAAGGGCTTAGTGGAGGAGCAGAGAGAGGGGGAAAGTGCTAGAGCCAAAGAGAAAGGCAAGGAACAAGATACACCCCTCAAAGGCACACCCCCAGTGACCTACTTTCTCCAGCTGGGCACCACTTCCCAACAGCCCATTCAGGATCCACACAATCCAATCACCTCTCTAGTCCTCACCTCTGGCCACTATTACACTGGCCTCACAAGTCCTCAATACATGAGTCTTTGGAACCCTTCATATGTAAAATGTAATACTCGGTCACCAAATGTTTTATATTAAAGGGAGAGGGCATCTTGTTTTGTGATTTAAACAAAAGGTGCTGAGGAAGTAGGGAAAAGGATATTTTATTTCTGTTACTCTTTCCCTGTGACTTTCCTTGACCAGCTGGGATACATGAAACATCTGGTGATTACTTACAGGTCTGCGGGCAGTAATAAGAGGGACTCCTAGGTGGATCGTGTATATATAATGCTTGTTCACAAAGCAATTATGTAAACTACATTATGGAGACTTCTATTTATAGTTTTGAAGTAGTTTGTATTAATTTTCCCACCACAAAGGCTGGATGAAACACAGGTTGAATATCTTTTATCTGACATGCTTAGGATGTTTCAGATTTTGGGATTTGGTAATGTTTTTATACATACAATGAGCTATGTTGGGGATGTGAACCAAGTCTAAACCCCAAGATCATCCCTGTTTCACGTACAGCCTGAAGGGACTTTTATATAATAGTCTTAGCACCTGCATTCTGACTGTAACCCATCACATGAAGTGCAGAGTGGTGTCATGCAAAAAGTTTTGGATTTTGGAGAAGTTCTGATTTTCAGATTAAGTATGCTCAATATGTTTATGAAACAACTGCTCAGAAGCATTGGAAAGCAAACACCACAGGCTTAACTTGAAAGGCTATAATTCCTGACAGAAGGGAATTAAATTCCAACTAGAAGGTGAGCTCTACATTCATGCCAGCTTTTACCTGAGGTTATTTCATTGTGGGGGAAGAAAATATCAATGGAAAACAAAAGTCTTCCTGGTATGAAGAAATAGCGTAGAGTATAGGGAAGTCTAGGCAGCTGGGAATTAGCGGACAGAAATAATGAATAAAACAAGAACTACAAGAACTATGCAAACTCCCCTAGGACATTTCCAGTTCCTAAATTATATGACAGAGCGTGACATTCTAAGACACCCAGCAGAGGAACAGCTGGGAAGTTAGGAAGCTAAATAGTTTTTCTTAGCCAAACAATGCTAACTAGACAGACACTGAAGGTTAAGGTCTGCCACGGTGCAATTAGCGTTGGAATATACCACCGGCTTTCAATCAAAACCTAAAAGGGCCACATTCTAGAAATAGGGACAAAAATAAAATCATCCCTAATAAAGCAAAACCAATTGTTTATAAGATTAAAGTAATATGCTTACACCTTATCTGTATGTCCTAATTAACTCATCTCTGAAGGAAGATGTAAGTATATAAACCTTTTAAAACAAAATATTCAGAATTCAATTATAAAATAAAGTATGTTTTAAAAAATTATGACTAAATGACTGAAAACCAGAAAAAAAGGTCATAGAAATAAACCTTCAAAGACTTTAAAATAACAATGGTTAATATGTACACAAAACTAGAAAAAAGAATTTCAATGAAGACATAAAATATATTAAGATTTCACACACAAATTCTCAAAGAGAAAAAAATCAATTAATAGCAAATTAGACACATCTCCATAGAGAAGTACTGAACTAGAGTTCAGACCAGTAAAAATTACCCACATTGAAGTACAGAAATGAAAAGGATGGAAAATATAAAAACGCTGTCAATCTAGAATTCAAGATCTAGTCAAAATAACCTTTTAAAAAATGAAAGCAAAATAGAGATATCAGGTGCACAAAAGGTGAAAAATTGTCAACAATATATGTACACTAATGAAAACAGCAAAGAGAATTCAACTAATAGAAACCTAGTCACTTTGAAACCTTGAAGTAAGAAAAAAGGAAGAACATCCGGAGGGTATATAGTATGATGAGATAAATGTATGTTCGAAACTAAAAACAATACATAACAATAAAACACTAAAAGGCAGAAGGGGGCTACTGTCATTAATGATAGTCTTACATTATTAGGAAGGGATAAACATACCAATTTCAGGTACACTGTAATGTCTAGGCTATGTATTCTATTGCCTACAATAATCACTTTAAAAATTGTAAAAGACTAACCAGCAAGCCAAAAGAGGAGGCAAAATATAATAAAGTACAATAAGGATATAAAGCTAGTGATGAAAGAGAATTCATATTGAATTGTTTTTCTTTTCCCCCTTGGTGGTACTGGAGATTTAAACCAGGGTCTTCACATTGAGCCCTTTTTAAATTTTTGAGGCAGAGTCTCATTAAGTTGGTAAGTTGCCCAGACTGGTCTCAAATTTGAGATCCTCTTATCTCAGTTTCCCAGAATGCTGGGATTATAGGCCTGCCACCACACTGGCCTAGATAATTTCTTTAATTGTCAAAGTTATACTGTACTGAAACAACTAAATGGTCTATTCAAGATGTCCCAAAAGCCCAAGAAATAATCTCAGACTATGTGTTAAATCAGAAAGGAGCATTTTCAGCATGAATAATTTATAGAGAAGTGAATTAACAGGAGAAAACTGTGAGGATTTTTCTAAACTGGGTCTAAGGAGTTGGCATTGATTTTTCAATTAAAAATACAAGGTAAAATCATTTTATAAGACAAGCACTTTTTATATATTATCTCATTTATTCTGACAAAAATACCATGAGGCTATTGTTATATCTTTTTATTTTTTATGATACTGGGTATTAAACCCAGGGCCTTCACACTGAGCTATAGCCTTAGCCTTTATTTTTAAATTTGAGGCAGGGTCTCACTAGGTCACTAAATTGCCCAGGCTGGACTCAAACTTGCAATCCTTCTGCCTCAGCCTCCCAGAATGCCATTATAGGTTTGTGCCACCATGCCTATCTTGTCATCTTCATTTTACATATGAGAAATCTTAGTATTCAAAGACCACTAAAATTAAGGGCCGGGGATTTAGCTCAGTGGTTTGGTGGCCTGCCTTACAAGTGCAAGGACCCGAGTTCAATCCCCGGTACCAAAAAAAAAAAAAAAAAAAAAAAAAAAAAAAAAAAAAATCACTAAAATTATTGTTCAAGGTCACAAAAGAAAAAATAATGCAAAATGGTAAAGGCAGTTGGGTTAGGTAAAAGGATACAGGAATGCACCAGAATGTAAAATGAATTTAAAAAGAGATAGTCTGCAATCAGGCAGATTGGAAAGAACAGTGTAGCAGTGACAGCATGAAGTATAAGGCAATAAAATGTACCACTCGTACTTCAATTTCCTTGCCTCATTGTCTCCAGACACTTGCACTATCAAAATAGCCTTTCCATACTCAATCTTGCCTCTTATCCTAAATCATCTTTCAAAGTGCCATAAGAACAACCCTATACGATATATAGGCTCTAAGATCTTTTCATGTCTCTCAAAGTCCAAATCATTATTTTCACATCCAAAAAATAACATAAATTCAAACAAATGAATGCTTGCCTGCTTTACTTGACTATGAGCTCTATGAAAGCAAGGACTTGGTCTTCTCCATTTTATATTCCTGTAATACCAGCACAAAACTGATTCTTTTCTTTTCTTTTTCTTTCTTTCCTTCCTTCCTCTCTCTCTTTTTCTTGCCTCCCCCCCCCCGCTTTCTTTCTTTCTATTGTGGTGCTGCTGGAGGTTGAACCAGTGCCTTCCCACTGAGGTATATCCCAGCCACTTCTATTTTTTATTTTGAGACAGGGTCTCCCTAAATTGCCAAGGCTAGGCTCCAACTTTCAATCCTCCTGCCCCAGCCCCCTAGAATGCTGAGAATATAGGAATGTACCATCACACCTGGCCCTAAACTGATTTTCAATGAATTATTTTTTACTGTGGTATAAAATATACATGACACAAAACTGAACATTTTAAGTATCAATTTAAGTAATGTCAGTGATATTAATTACATTCACACTGTTGCACAATCATCACTATTCATCACCAACACTTTTCAACAACCCAAACTGAAACTTTGTAGTAGTTAAATAGTAAATCTCCACTCTCCCCTCCCTAAGCCTCTGGTGACCACTATTTTACTTTTGTCTCATGAATTTAACTATTTTAGGTACTTCGTATAGGTGCTTCACGATATTTGCCCACTGTGCATGGCTTTTTCACTTAGTATAATGTCATCAGAGTTCATCCATGTTGTAGTATATATCAGAATTTCTTTTCCTTTTAAAGCTGAATAATATTCCCTTGTTTGGATAAACCACATTTTGTTTAACCATCAGTGGACATTAGAGCTGTTTCCATCTTGGGGCTACTATGAATGAGGCTGTTATGGACATGGCTGCACAAACAGCTGCCCTGTTTTCAGTAGTTTTGGATAAATATCTAGAAGTGCAGTTGCTACTAGGCCATACGCTAATTCTATGTTTAATTTCTTTTTTTCTTTTTTTGGTACCGGGGGTTGAACTTAGGACCTTGCTCTTGCAAGGCAGGCGGAGGAACCACTGAGCTAAATCACCGGCCCTATGTCTGATTTCTTGAGGAACTGCCATATTGTTTTCTCCAGTGGGTGCATCATTGTACATTCCACCAGCAACACTCAATTTTTTCCATATTTTCACACTTTTTATTTTCTTTATTTCTGTTAAGAGCCGTCTTAATGTATGTGAAATCCTATTTTATTGTAGTTTTGATTTGTATTTCCCTAATAATTAGTGATGCTGAGCATCTTTTCATGTGCTTATTGGCCACTTTTATATCTTCTTGGTATAATATTTATGTCCTTCATCTCTTTTTAAATTGGGTATTTTTCATTGCATTTCAGGAATTCTGTGTATATTCTGAATATTCTTTATCAGATAAATGATTTGCAAATATTTTCTCCCATTTTGAGGGTTGCATTTTCATTATCAATAATATTGTTTGATGTTGAAGTTTGATTTATCTATGTTATAATCTGCGGCCTAAGCTTAGTATATATATAAGAAAGCTGGGTGTGGTGGCGCACGCCTGTAATCCCAGCACTGGGGAGGCTGAGGCAGGAGGATCGCTGTGAGTTCGAGACCAGTTTTGGCTACATAGTGAGTTCCAGGTCAGTCTCAACTACATAGTGTGAGGTGCTGTCCAAAAAAAAAATCATTGCCAAATTCAACATCATGAAGCTTTTCAATTATATCTCCTTAAGAATTTTAGTTTTAGCTCTTCTATATAGGTGTTTGATTCATTTTGAGTTTTTTCTTCAATATGCTGTAAGATAAGGATCCAATCTGATGCTTTGGTATGTGGCCATGAATTTTTTTTTTTTGGTACCAGAGATCAAACTCAGAACCTTGCGCTTGCAAGGCAGGCAGTGGAACCACTGAGCTAAGTCCTCAGCCCATGAGTTATTTTTAAAGAAATGACAAGAAATATGGAGAGAAAGGTAGATATGATAAATTTCTAAGAGGATCCAACATATATTTGCAACTACAAAAAACAGATATAGATATACCTGTATATGTTACTTGTTTTTAATAACTTGAAGATGGTCCACTGCCATTAAGTAAGCTGTGATTGAAACATTTCTTTCAAATAAAGGAGATTTTAAATTTTGCTGGTATAGCTGCTGCTTGCAAGCCTTTCTCTGTTGATTAATGCTTCTAAGTGTTCTGACTGCTAGTGGCTTTTGCTATGAAGAACCCCTTTATATTGTGTGCTGTAGTCCAGCAGAATTTCTCAGTTACCATTAATAATAAAGAGTGAGTGATTAAAAAAACAAGTGACACAAGAGATTTTCTGACTTTAAAAATACAAATTCAGTTAAAGCCATGAGGTCTGCTGAAACTGCCAATAACTAAAAGAGTGGGGTATACAGTTCTTATATAGATTGGGGAGAAAAGGTAAAATGAGTGGTACAACCCTTTAAGGGAGATGTGAAATATTAAATTTATTTGTTTTAAAATTAAAAACATATTAAAAGAGTGAATAAACTACTACCACACAAATAAGACAGAATTTTGAAGAAAGACTAGGAAAGGGACAGAATAGGAAGAAAATAAGCATCCCATGTCAGTGATAAAAGGATGACAAAGAACAACAAGGAGAAGCAGAGTAGAAAATCAACCTGAGGAGCACACTCAAGAGATACAAAGCTTCCAGTCAAAATTCGGTGACTGAGTTTGAAGGAAAGCCTTTTTTGTAGAAAAAGGCTGAAACATGCAGCAAAAAAGGCACAGAATCCCGTCAGGCCTTTGTGTAGGTAAACATTACTCCCATGTAGCCAATCTTCATCACACAGGCTCTCTTACAAAGGAGGACAAATTATGTGATAAGAAAAGAAATGGAAAGAGACGAAAAGCTAAATCAGAATCCAAAACCAGTAAAATCCATGAACTTTTCCTGCCATGTTCATTACAAGTTCTTGGAGAAGGTAAAACAATACTTACTGCTGTTGCAAAATGGTGAATAACAGCAATGGAGATACAGGCATCACAAGACCCACTGCGAACTGGAACAGCCAGTGCATCACAGACAAAGGCTTGGAACTGCCTCTCTCTACAAATGTCCACAAGGGTTTTGCTATAATCACAACCAATCTATAGCAGAGAAAGAAAAGAATTTCATAACATTCTCTTTAAATAGCCTAAGAAACTAAGAGCTATGGGTTTATTCCATACTTCATTATTACATGATCTGAGACCATGACATTAGCAATTCTTAAAGCCAGTACAAAATTAGGATATATATAATTGCTCAAGTTAGAATTTATTATCTTAAAAGATAACAAACAAGTCAAATTAGTGAATGGAAATAAAATAACTAGAAAAAAAAGTGACAGCATTAAAAATAGAAGGTCTAAATGTGCTCCTAACTGATCATCATCAGATCTTTCTGTAGTATTACACATTTAAATACTACATTTATCCAATAAACGTACACATGTAATCTTGGAGGGAAGCTACAAAGATGATCTCAGACATCTCTCATACTGCACATATTACGTTGTGATGGCCCAGATAGCAGGAGGATAAATGATTTTTTAAAATCTTGCTTCTTAGTTTTTAAACATTTTTTTTTCCTTAGCAGGCAGCAGCACCACTGAGCTAAATCCCTGGCCCATATATGTATTACTTTTATAATCAGAAAATCCCCAAACAGCAAAAAGAATAAAATATTTCACTTTTTAAAGCTACTGAGTCTTTTTATGCTAAACCCCTAACCTTATCGAGAATAAAGTGCAAAATTCAAAATTTGTAAAATACTACTTAAAGCTTTTAGAATAACCATTCTATGGGAATGAGGTCACCAAAGGCACTAGCATCAGGTTTTCATCTCTCCCAAAGAGGTGAAGCCTAAGGTGCTTTATGTATTTCTCTGGTTCTGTGAGAAGTAGGGACTGGGACTTCCCACACTCTATCTCATTTTATTGCCTTGGTATAGTTTAGCCACTTCCTTCTAAGAATGCCTTCCAGACAAATACACACACAGAACTGCAATATGCACATGTAAATTAAGGAAGGAATGAAAGGAGCTGAAGAAATGTTTAATCACTTATTAATAATTATTCTCAGACATCTCTTCTTAACCCAGGCTCTATAATCAGGAAAATAGTTATATAAACAGATTTAATCAAATAGAAGTGGCCAGTCCAATCTCACATTCATTAATTTATTTATTTTTGATGTATGAACATTAATCCTTAGTTCTCTTAGTCCTTCTGAAAATAAGGTGTATGAATCCTCATACCAAACAATTCTTACTCAGTTAAAAAAACCACATTGCCAAGCTGGTCATATTTAAGGAGTTCACTCAATTTCTAATTGGTATTAAACAGCTTCTATATTCTATCCCAGAGCTACTTTAACTTCTGACATAGAATAAAAGGTAAAACTAGAGGTAAAGAACAGCGATTTCTCTTTAAGATGGAAAAGTACTAAAAGACTACTAGTAAAAACAGTGGCAACATTTCCAATTCATTGCTTCCTTTATCTGCGTAAGATTTATGCCTGACTTACTACTATTATTTATTTTCACCCAAATTCTATGCCACTTAGCTAACAGTCATAGTATCTATCTATCTATCTATCTATCTATCTATATTTATCTACATTTCCAATTCATTGCTTCCTTTATCTGCGTAAGATTTATGCCTGACTTACTACTATTATTTATTTTCACCCAAATTCTATGCCACTTAGCTAACAGTCATAGTATCTATCTATCTATCTATCTATCTATCTATATTTATCTACATTTCCAATTCATTGCTTCCTTTATCTGCGTAAGATTTATGCCTGACTTACTACTATTATTTATTTTCACCCAAATTCTATGCCACTTAGCTAACAGTCATAGTATCTATCTATCTATCTATCTATCTATCTATATTTATCTACATTTCCAATTCATTGCTTCCTTTATCTGCGTAAGATTTATGCCTGACTTACTACTATTATTTATTTTCACCCAAATTCTATGCCACTTAGCTAACAGTCATAGTATCTATCTATCTATCTATCTATCTATCTATATTTATCTACATTTCCAATTCATTGCTTCCTTTATCTGCGTAAGATTTATGCCTGACTTACTACTATTATTTATTTTCACCCAAATTCTATGCCACTTAGCTAACAGTCATAGTATCTATCTATCTATCTATCTATCTATCTATATTTATCTACATTTCCAATTCATTGCTTCCTTTATCTGCGTAAGATTTATGCCTGACTTACTACTATTATTTATTTTCACCCAAATTCTATGCCACTTAGCTAACAGTCATAGTATCTATCTATCTATCTATCTATCTATCTATCTATATATCTATCTATAAAGCAGTCAAATAAAATACATATCATATTTTGGTGCTGGCTAGCTTTGGTTACATTTAAATTCAGTTCACAGAATCAGAAGTTTCAAGTATGCCCAATTCTAATAATAAGTTAAACCTTACTAAAAGCTAGCAGGAAGAAATCCAACCTCCTTATAAAATAAATCCTCAGAGAAAGGGCTCAATAGTCATTCAGAGGAAGAGAGTTATTATCTGAGAACCACAGATAAAATACAACAAGGAGAGCAGCAGCCAAATAAAACAAGGAAATTTCTCTCTTCTTGTCAGGCTTTTATGGCTATTTGTATACAGCATTCCTTTTTACCAACAAAAACGAACACAAGCAATTTTAGTAACAAAACACCAGGCCTATTATAGATTCTCCACTGACATGGAACCAACTCATGTCTGGCTCAGTACTTTCATTTTTCATTTATTTATTGCTGGAGTCTTTTTTTGGGGGGGTAATCGGGGATTAAACTTGGGACCTTGTGCTTGCAGAGTAGGTAGCAGAACCACTGAGCTAAATCCCTGGCCTGCTGGAGTCTTCTACATGCTATAGTCCAATCACCAAAGATATTATTAAGTATTTGAAAGTCTCCCTAACAATATAGCATAATTTCAATAGCAGGACAGAAAATGGCTTATATAGAAACACACACATATATAAACACACACACATACACACACACACACACACATATACAGAAGGACTGTGTGTTGGATGGAGATCAATGACATAAAAATTTATATTAAACTTTAAATATTTTTTACTCTATATACTTTTTAATCATCAACAAAAATTCCAGAAGTATAGGCAATTCGAAAAAGTTCAACTTAATAATCAAAGCTGCAAATTAAAGTAAGTTCTAAATTTTTTATACTAAACTATCAAAATATTTTAAAATTAAAATATACCACAGGCAATACAATAAAACTTTCTCTTATATATCATTGGTGACAGATCAAACTGGCTTAATCATTTAAAATCAGGCTAATATCTACTTTAAACAGCTTTCTTTTCCCTGAGATTCCTCTACATTAAAGCAAAATCTTTCTTTAATGTATTCAATTCTCAAAGTGTACTCTGAGTTAAGAAGTATTACCATATTTCAAACCAGGAAACCTCATCTCAAAGTAAGTAATTTTCTCAAAGTTTAACAGTAAAGTAGTAGAACAGGGATATATATTTTTTAAACAGAGATTTAAAAACTGTTTTTTTCTCACTCCAAAAATCCATATTCTTCCTTGTTATATTTTTTCTCAATATCAATGTTGTGCAAAAAAATATATACACATATTTATTACTGTATTTTAAATTTTATAAAAAATTTTATTTTATTTTAGCACAAATACCTTAACATATATGCCTTCTTAAAATTTTAAGTGTGCAATCCTTCAACTATCCTTTTTCCTTTCCTTCCTTTCTCTTATTGGTAGTGCTAAGGGTCAAATCCAGGGCTTCAAACATGCTAGGTAAGCACTATGCCACTAAGTTATATTCCAGCCCTGTAGTGTTATTTACAATATCTCCAGGCTGAAAATAACCAAATGGTAAGTAACAGCTACCTTAGAATACTATGAAATTCAGAAAGTTTGTCAAAATGAAAATATTAAGTGATATAAATTAAGTATCAAATTGCATGCATACTCCTCACTATATATTTATAAGAAAACAATGAGAGGATATTTATCACAATACACTGATTTATTAGGTCATAGGATTATAGGTGATTATCTTTCATAAGTCTTCTGAATGAGAGTTACACAATTTTTCTTTCTTAAAAAGTATACAAGACTTTTTAAACTATTAAGAAAACATGCAATTATAGGATAATCAGGCTGGTGATGATAATTTAAAGTGCAAAGAAATAGACAAAGGCAATAAAGTGCAAAGAAAGGAGACACTAAACTAGATCAGAATCCTGGCCTCACAGAAAACCAGCTGAACAACTTCAGAAAGCTACTTATAATCTCAGAACTTCTGTTTCCTCATCTAAAAAGTAAGAATAAAAAAATCCACTTCTCAGAGGATCATATTAATTGGCAGAGATTGAATATTTCATTAAACATAAAAGTACATAAAAGTACAATGCAGAGTTAGTAATTGTTACCTAGGAAACAAGGGCTGAACAAAAAACCCTGTCCTGGAGTCTAGATGTAACCAGCAAAGTAAGGTTTAAAATATTTTACCCTTACTTCAGACTCATCTATTTTGAGGTTATCACATTCCTTCATGGCTGCAGAACACAAGACTGTATACATTTTGGCTTTCATGTAAGTTTTCATGTAAGAAATTGGAGGTAAATTCACAGGTTTTCTCCTTACCATTCAGCGAACCATTAATAAGCTTCCACGGCTATGTGCTGACTAATTGTAGCACAAAACAGACATGATTCCTTCCACCTCATAATGTATAGCCTGGTGCTCTCTGTCACCGTAATTAGTCTTTAAGGTCTCTTCTAGAAGACTGTCAGAGTATGGAATCTACAAGATGAGGCTGTAATACTTGTCCTGAAACTATGTGACCTTGGGGATATCATAACTTGACTGAGCCTCAGTATTCCCACTAGTAAAGTGGAGATAGTAATACTGATCTTGTAGATTATACATGTGAAAGATAAGCACAACACTTGACACATAGTGGATAACTGACACTGTTAGTTTCCTTTATGTTCTTTCTTTTCCTGGGTAGTCAATATAGGTTAAAATAAAAATAAGACCTAAAGCATATAAATAAATCTATATAAACATATTCCCATAAATAGACTGCTAGTATGATTATGTATAACTATGTATAACAACCAAGAAAATCCACACCGTCTATTAAGTACATACATACTTATTTTGGAAACTAATTAGAACTGAATGTGTTCTGAGACCAATACACATAATCAATCTGAGTGTTATCTTCCTCGACAACAAGACACCAATAAATGGTGTACTTTTTTCCTACTATAAGTAAAGTAATACCTTATTTGGAATTTCAAGTTTCAATTATATCTCCTCGTTATATAACACCAGGGAAGATTAACTGTGAAGCCTCAATTCCTTATTTATAAGATTGATCAAAATATCTATTTTACTTTCTCATCCTCAAGAGGGTCCAAGCAAAGAAACTCATTCGTATAAAACACCTTTCTAATCTGCAAAGTTTCATGTATAATTGTTAAAAAGCTTACTGATAAAAGTTTTATTGGAAAGAAAAATTTACAGTGAGCAAAAAGCTACAACTGATGGCATGCCCATAAATTTCTAGAATAAAAAAGAATGGGAATGTTCACTGACTTTCAATTTGTTGTGACTTTTCTGTAATGCCTTTAAAAATAGCATGTATCTTGAGAAAGAAAGATAATAATAACCATTGCAAATAAAGCAAGAGTCAAGCAACTTCACTTGCCGTGTATAACTCCTTATTGATGCCAAGATACTTTCCATTGCCACATCCAATATCAGCCACTATCGAACCATCTGGCAAAGCCTTCAAAAACTCCACAATGTGTGGCCAAGGAGTGTGTCTCGTGCTGCTGAAGTGTCCAGCAATCTCCTCATAAACTCGATGAACATATTCTTGCTCCAGCTGTGATGCTTCTTTATCATTCTCTGGAAATGAGGGAGAAGTCTCTTTCCTCTGGCTGTCACAGACCAAAGAATAATCTAAATGAAAAAATAAGGCAATATAAACCTTTCTTTATCCGAAGATGAATGAAGTACCAAGTTTTCTTAAAATCAATGCAAATTTGGTGACTAAGGACAAAAAGGCTCTGACTTATAAGTTAAATAAACTTCTTCGCCTATAAGTCCAAGTATATATGCAAGGGGATATATAATATAAAAAGGAGGAAAATATTCATTTATAGGATAATGTGACTGTAATCTGCATCTGCCTTAGAATTAAGATGCCTATTTCATCTCGAGAGTAAGAGTTCTTTTATTCAGAAAGCTTCTTGATAAATAGAGCCTCCCTGTGACAAATGTAGCCAAACAAGACTTAAAGCTTTTCCTTTACAAGTAAAGGTTAAGTATTCCAGGTACTTTAGTACTCTCAAAAGAACAATAAAATGTAGAAATAGTGTGTCCTTTGGTAATAATGACAAGCATTTACTGAATACTATTTGAAACAGTTTCTATGTATTGTCTCAATTCTCATCATGATGTTATAATAATACAAGCATTTTAAAGTTGAGGAAACTTTAGCACAAAGAAGGTAAATAACATTCCTTAAATGACAGAGATAGTCAAAACTTGGACCCAGTAACTACACTATATTGCCTTCTTCCATAGAGTGAGCAAACCCAACGGAGATCTCTACCTAGTAGAGATAACACTGGAAATTTCTAATTTAATATCTCAAGTTGATTTTGAAGTTGTTCCTTGTTCTCTGTAATAATAGCTAATATTAATCATATATTCTTGCCTGGTTTCTGCAATGCAATATTTTGTTTGTTTTCTGCCAAGGTCTGTGGCATTTATGTCATTATAGGTACCATCCTAGGAATAAAGGAAGAAGCAGTATATCAAGAGAAGATTGCAGCAATAAGGAGAAATCACATGACAGGAATTTGGCAGCAATTTTCATAGCTTTGGGATTGGACATAAAACACGATTATTTTCCTTAAATCTAACTAGATTATGCCAAACCTAGAAAAAGCCTAACCCCATGAATGGGCAAAGGAAATGCTAAACATTTTAAATGGATATAGATAGCCTCAAAGCTTGAGGGCTCTTGAAACATACACATGGAAATAGACAAATTGTATTACATTGATTATATCAGAATTGCAAATATACATATACATATATATATAT